ATATTTACTACAAAATGGTCCTCCATTTATGTCCCCTTTTTTGTTTACTTTTGTCAGAGATGGGTATTCCCTTGTGCAATGGCCATGACTCATCCACATGGCTGACACTGACAAAGGATCTACAAACTGCGGTATAGGGTTTCAGGGTAAATCCTGATTAGATTTGACTGACCTTGTCAGGTACAAAAGTTACATTTCTTATTATATAGGTCTTGTTTTATATTGGTCTTAACCATCCAGCAGAAAAGTATAAAAACAAGGTATAAAAAGTAAAGCCATATTAATATGCTGAGCTGTAAAAGGCTCAAGTCAACAACTTCTGACATTGCCCGTCCTAAGGATAACCTACCACTATTACAGACTACTGGACTATATTGGATTATTTTGCTGAATTCATGCACCTAAAATATATGAGTGGCAGTTGTCAGAATCTGCACCACCTTAGGTACAACTTCAGCTGGAGCTCAGAAGGGGCTCCTCGTTTTACATTCCCTGCACTCTCACCGGAGCACACGCCTACGCTAACCTCTGAAACTGGAGGCTGCTCAGAGCCCCCTTCATGCAGTAGATACACCTTTCCAAGCAAGGCCGCCATCCCCAAATTGTATTTCTGTATTTTCCATTTCTTTCCATCAAGGCCTTGGTAAGGTCTAAATACATTTCCCTGCAAACATACTATCATTGTTGTGTGCCCTGGGGCAAGAACAGTAAATGTTGAAGTATGTGTGTTGTGCCAAAAGCCCAAAGGTGGGGACAATTCCTTTAGATATATTTCTCCAAAATTTTTTTCTGTTTCTGCACCCATTCCTTAAAAATAAATGTCTGGAAAGTGACATAACTAATAGTAAACAAGCTTCTTTCAAATTTTTATGCACATACATATATAAGGATACAGAGTTCTGAGAAGAAAGGGAGATTTCAAAATGTGTCATATTTAATTTGAAAAAATTCTTTTGTTTTGAAGGATGACAACTGATTCTGGAATTTCTACATTAGTGGAAACATTTGTGGGTGTTTCTTCTAATGTTATAGAATTATATGCAATTATTACCTGGATCTTTGCTTAAATCTGGAATACATTTTTCAAAAGACCATACGTTTTTACGCTTCTGTTGGGTTATTATATTGACCTTGATCAAAGAGTTTTTCTTTTATTGAGCGTAATTATAAAAGGCCTGGATTCAGTCTTAGGAAATAAGAATATTATGTCAACAAATTATGCCGTGTGGACTAGTTCATGTCACAGGATGAAAAGGAAAGCAATAGTTCAACCATGGCAAATTAAGATAGACACTTTCATTTCTATGAATTATTGAGTAATTGATTAACTTATGTGGTACATGGACTTGTGAAGAATAATTTGTAAAGTTGACTCCCAACTTAAGTAATTTTCAGTTGTAAATTAAAATTATGAATCTCCCTATAATTTAACTTGTCTAGTAATAAGAACATCAAATTAACGTAAGTAGAATAAAAGAATCCATGAATTAGTCTTGTCAACGGATAATTTCCTGAAATATTTTGTTTCCTCATCTAGTGTTCAATAGGTTATTTGTGAAACATAAAATACCTTTTATGTGCAAATTAGCAAACACACAAAAAATAGGGTAGCGTCTCATAAGGAAAACCAGCTGCCCATCAAATAAGACTGGTGTAAAGGCTGAATCATTTTGAACAGGTACTGTTCAGGAAGTAAGAATTCACAGGTCATATTTGACTTATCAGATTTACTATGCTGTTTCCCAGTGTTATCAAGCTACACCAATTATACTTTTGCCAAGAACGCCTGTACGAAACTCAGGTAGGTACAGGATATATACAAAATCTGACTAAAGCCTTCTAGCAAAAATAGAAAGGTTAATGAAGTGAAGAAGAAAGGCAACTCTGGGTTTTAATTATAGGTCGCTAACAGGTTAATATAGGAAACTGTTAGAACTGGGCATGAAAACTAGGTTATGTTTGAATAAAAGCTAATGTAGAAATGGAGCTATGCAGTTATATGGAATAGAGGAACTATCCATAGGGATGATTGTTTCAAATTTCATGTAGTTTTGCACACATGCGAGATAGTGTGAAAAGACTGAGGAAATCTTTATAGTGGTGACAGATGTTGATTTGGGATGGTTGTTCTAATGCAGTAGAATTACACCTAAATATTACCTGGATCTTTGCTTAAATCTGACACGCAATTTTCAAAAAGCACGTCTGCTTCTGTTGGGTCATTCTAATAAATGCTTCTGACATATGTATCTATTTTTCTGACTGAAATCAGATGTGTTTTAATTTTTGGTTTTTTTTTTTTTTTTGTGTGTGTGTGTGTGTGTGCGCGGGGGGGGGGTTCACTATGCAGCTTGGACTTGTAGCGATCCTCCTGTGTTCAGTCTCCCTAGCGCTGGGATTACAGGTGTGCGCCACCACGCTGGGACTCCATTGCCAGCTCAGCATACCTGGGGGCAGAGCTGGCATGTCATGTGGTGCCAGGGAAAGAACGCTGACCTCTGTGCTAACCTAAACAAGTGCTTAGTCTGCTGTGCTATCTCACCGGCCCTATATCTTAGAGAAAAAAAAGTTGGCCATAGAGAAAACTTTGAAAACAAAAAGCAAATTCAGTGTCTTAATTTTATTTCTAGTCACTTTTGATAATCAAATCACAAATGTTTAAAATTTAGTTCCAACATTTAAAGCCAGCTTTAAAGTCTGAGTTGTTAGGTAAAGAATCTTTAGTAAAAATGTTCGAAAAAACTGAAAAAGATGTCATGAGTTGGCCTTTCCTTGGTTGGAAACTTAAGTCAGTCAACCAGATAACTGACAAATCAAGCAACAAAAATGACTCATAAATGCTGCTCCACTGGGAAGAATTAAGACTTGGGCAGTGCTTGGGTGCGTCTTTTCTGTAAGTACCACAGAACCTAGAATAGTGTCATTAAGTAATACTTTGTACTGTGACAAACTAAAAAAGAGCATATGGAGTAGACTATATTCAGCATGTTGTATAAATTATGGGCAATTTTCTAATATTTGATATATATATATGTATATATATTAGTAAAATGATTCTTTTTGTGAGTGGTTTCTACTTCAGAATTTGCAACACAAACATATCTATGAAATCTTTAAGCAAGTTTCTAAAGTTGGAAGCAAAGAAAGTAGCTGTTCAAACCTTTGGTGTCCTTATTATGGCAAGTGAAGAAGGTGGGCCGTAGTTAAAAAAGCTAATTTAACAGAGAAGGGGACTAGGTAACTCTCTACTGGGGCTGGAGATGTATCTCTGGCATAAGTGCTTGCTAGGCAAGTGCAAGGTCCTGAGTTAGAAAAAACCAAAAAAATGAAAACTGTCTATTCACTATTTTGTATTATTATGAAATTTAAAAAAAAGTTAAAACATATGCACACAAATAAACTTGGCAAGGATTTTTGAAAGGTAAATGAAAGTTTTACAAAGAAGGCATGATGCCAACAAAGATAGTAGATCCTCAAAAGCATGAAGCTGTGGACAATGAAGAGGACAAAAGGTCTTTTGGGGGTTTTGGTGGTCAGTCCTTGCAATCGTATTTTCAATAAGCCTATACCATCTTTTATAAGCTTAGATAATATTGCTGGCATGCCACATTTAGCTTTTGGAGCTCTTTTCTAGAGATGATAGATTTTCATCGATCCAACCATTTTTTTTTCCTATAAACTTACAAGCAAACAATCTAGGTTTAGGGATATGCTTTATGGTCAAGAAAATGAATGAAGTAAATTGGTCTATGACTTATGTTATTTGACCTGCAACTTATGTGATGCTACCCAGCACTGAGTAAGTATGTGTGAATGTGTATGCACATGCACCACCCTTCCATCGACAAAGCCTTACACACAGAGACAGGAAGACTTCAAAGGCCTAGGGATGAGTGCCTTTGAGAATCTCTTCTTTCCTTTCAGGAAGTGGAAAAGTGAATCAAGTATATAGCTGGAAAAGGATATAAGGGGATATGACAGATGATGGTGGTAGCCAGAGGTACACACTCGTAAATCTGTCTGAGGTAGATGGCAGGATGTCAAAACACTTCAAAGATACATCCTCATGCCTTTTGAAGATCAAGGTAGGAGGTTTTTAAAGGCTCTAGGAGAGTAACAGTGGGAGCTTGTAATGAGGATTTCTCAGTGTTGACTTCGTTCTCCTCTCTCTGCTTTGGCTTTTTCAGATCTGTGATTTCCAAGTCATCATATGGAAGACTGGCACCATAAGCTAAATAAAACATCCACATGATAAACGTTCATTTTTTTGTTGTTGCTATAATGCTGACCATAACTATTCTTGACCTGTTTAGGTTTTATTTGATTTTCAAAGGGAGAATGGGGATGGGGATAGAGCTCTTGTTCATATTTCTTTAATTCTGTTCCAGTTTTAGAAAGAACAGGACCTTCTCCTTATTCCTTTGTCTGGCTTGAAGGATTCGCATCAGCCTAGAGTGTCAGTGTGGGAAAGAGAGCAGATGTCGATCTCCAGCCGTAAGCGGTAGAAATGAAGCTAAGGTAGGAAGAAACTGCTTCTGGAATTGCAATCAGTCTTTCCCTGCAATAAGGTCCCAGCCTCACTGAGTGTGTGCTAAGGATCTTTCCAAGAGGTTCTTTAAGTCAAGGGTCTTAAAAGTTGCAAATTATACAAAAATCAGAAACTTCTCCAAAGTAGACCTGGCTCAGCACTCCACATATATGCACCTCCTGTGTAGTGGTATGAAGTTATGAAATTATAGAACAAGTGAGAAGGAGAGGAAAGACTCCAGAAATCCAGTCCAGGTTGAAATGTTCAACAGAATCTCAATAAAGCCCCATAGCTCTCCATTTCCACTAAGACATGCGACAGGATTTTAGTGCTAGAGGAGACCAATGAGCCATCTATCTATGGAGCTACTACTAAGATTAGTGGTTCAGGGTGACTGGAATACTGACCGTGCGCTGTGGGCAAGCTGATTTACACACATCTTTATGAGCAAGTGCTCTTCAGCCCCAGGGCTAGCAGCACTTGTCCCCTCAGGTAACCTGAGGGATGCAAACAAGGAGACCTCATTAAAATCTCCCATGAAAAGAGCAAAGCCCACTCGGAGCAAAAGGACATTGAGTGTACACAGCTTTATTGAACAGCACCCTCAAAACAGAACCCAGAGTTCAAACTCTGTGGTGACAGGAAGAACTGCAAGCTTTAAACAACATGTCTGTAGTTCACAGAAAACATGCTATAGGGACTGAGAAAGGGAAAAATAAGAAATGATTATAGTTTGGGTACCATGCACCCTGGAGGAAGCAGAACAGCTCAGAGTATTAGAGGAATATTTTAGGGTAGAGGAAGTCATGTTATCCATCTAGACGCATCCACCATAAGCACCGTCCGAGCTGAAATGATATAAAGCAACCTTCAGTAAGGATGGGGTCTGTCTCTGTTGGCATTTTCAGAATGCAGAGCTTCCTAGTAAAAGCACAACTTTAAATATAACATTGGGGTCCCCTAGATAGATGCACAGGCCTCTGGAGTTTATACTTTTACTGCAGGAAAGAAGGTTGCATATGCTGGAGTTCTGAGGAGAAGTGCTAACCAGAAGTTGAGGGCCTAAATCAGACTGTTTCACAGTAGATATTCTTCAGTAGCACAGCCTCCTCATTTCCAGCTGGGTATAGACATCATTTATATATAGGAAATGCCCTGAACTGCCCTGCCACATGCCCTTTATTCTGCTTATGCAATCGTGGGGAACATCTTCATCTCAGGTTCCTACTGATTGGCAAATGTAGAAAAGCAGGGGAATATGAGTGGGGTGTTGGGCTCACTGTCATCACATCTTCAGTAGAATGTACCATGATACTACAGTGAAATAGGCACTCTAAAAACTTTTCCAGGAAAAGGATGGATTATATGCATTCTGTAAAACATGGAGCTACATTCTTTTCTGTTGAAGGCCACTTGCGATCTCACATTCTGTTATACTAATTTTCCTTATCATTGTTCCTCCTTCCTGTGAACTGTCTTCATGTATCTATAAAAATTCTTTGATGCTTGATTTATAATATTTGGTCAAATAACTCAGAGCCTCTCTTGAGCTCTGTGTTTTGGGTCCAACTACTGCAGAAGGATCTCTCTTCCTGTGCTCTTTCACAAAGGTGATCTTGGGCACAAAGGTGAGCCATGTAGCCATTTTTGAAATTCTTGCTATTCTCCATGAAATTATTTATATGGAAACTACACTTCTAAGTTCAGTCTTCAGCCTCTGGCCCCAGGAACTCCAGAGTTCACTGGGAAGATAAGTCTTTTATATCAGGGGACATAAATAATAAGATATTTAAGAATCTATATAATAATACCCCATTGCATCTTGTAATCCCAATTGCCTGGCTTCAACATCCCACTCCAGGCACTTGGTCAGGACTTGCCCAGTGAGAATGCAGGTGTTTTAGTAGTAAATGTGAAACGCACCTCACATTCTTACTTTGGGGAGATTATAAATGCAGATTTCCAGGAGTGACATTAACTCCCAAAGTCACGCCAGCCCTCCTTAAATGCAGCCAAATGAGTGAAATTGAAAACTTGTGCTGGATATTTATAATCTAGTTTCTAACAATAGTCTTCTGCAACTAACTCACAGTAAAATATTTTTTTCTTGTCATAGAATCAAGACTCATTACTGAAGTAGAGCTAGAACTCACCTCCTGGTAATAAAAGGACTTCCTGAGGAGGGAACTGAATGGGAGAACATGGTATCGTTCATGCTGGTTACAGGTCTGGGAGGCCTGAAATAAAGCACAGGGTGTGTGGAAAGTTAAAGAGAAGAAGATCTACAGATACAACCTATCCAGTATGTCTTGAGGGGATGGAATATCAAAGTTTTTTCTTACTGAGGATTAATATGAATATTTACATATTCCAGTTAAATTATTTAAGTGTTTTAAATTTATATTTCTTTGAGAAAAGTTTTCAATTAGCAATAGTTGTGCCTTGAATGAACCTCATTGGCTACAATACTGCTACTGCACAAAGCTTACATTTTCTTGAAAATATAGAATCTCAGTTACAGACCAGATTTCTGGACAATCTGAGAATACTTATTTGTGAGCTTTTGAACTCTGGTGTGCATTGAGTCATGCTCTTCAATGTATCAAGGATTTCAAAGAAAGCTTACTTCTACCCCTTCTTAAGGGTGAAGCTCTGAAAACATGCTAATCACAGTATACACATGTCCTTCTGGAAAGAAGAGGATTCCTGAGTCTCTAGAAATGCTTCCTTCTGTGTAGGCCATAATGGCAGTGATCTCTAATACACCTGATTCGGAAGCACATGGGCTGCAAAATCACATCAGGCCTCCCTTTTTCTTGTCTTCAGTGAAGATGCAATGAAGCAGTAGAAGAACTTGGTGTTCCTGTCATTTAACAGTTCCACAGGATAAGGTAGATGGGGTAAGACATTCTATAAACTTCACTTTTTCATTTGGCAGGTGAAAGAAAATAGTGTTCAATATTCCGTAGACCAGTCCTTGGTTGCAACCACCGGTAGCTTTGGTCTGTTTTCCTTGGTCCCATTGTTGCTTCACCTGTCACTCCCTGTCATAGATTAGTACTGAGAGAGCTAAGACCCTTACCCTTTCTCCAGTTTTTAGTGTCATTTTAAGTTCATTGTTACATGTTGAATAGTAAGAGGCAAGAGTTCAGAAGATGGAGGATGAAACACAGAAAATGTTGACTTCACTATAATTTTTCATTTTACAATGTAGAATTTTGTGAAGCTAAATACACTGTTGACAGCAGCCTAAGGGATCATTTTGCGTTGGTCTGATGAGAAGCCAAGTCTGTTTTTTTCAACTTAGGGAATCAGAGCTAAGGTAGGATTTTATAATCAAGAGATTGTGGATAAAATATAGGCTCATTTCTTGCAGAGCATCTAGTGAAGTAGTACTGATGCTCTGTGGGTTTTATAATGCCAGCCACTGTATGCAAACATTTGCTGAAATCTTTTTTATGGTAACTGGTGCCAAACTGTATTCCAGCATTGTGAAAGACACTGTATGTACTGCGTGAGATCAAAACAGCAAGCTGGACATTTCTTCCATTCTAGGTGCTTTAAAACTGAGGTTCTGAAAACAGCTCAGTGTTTTGCATTGCTTATCTAGGATGTGTCTCTGCAGGAGTGAGCAACGTGATGCTAGTTTAAAACTAGTTCTGCATTGAATTGGACCCTTTACCAGAAAGATGCTAATTTGGACAAACGTTATTGTAGGGTTGGGTAGATGGGAGGTGGGCAGCACAGTGCCTGAAGTGGATAAGATGGCATGGTTGACACAACGGAGTTATAAAAATGACCATCTGCTTACTAGAAATTATCCTTTGTGAAACCTTTGCAGGTGCAGAAGAGTTGTTTTTTGGGCTCACTGACATTCACTGGAGAGTTCCCAACCCCCCCCCCCATCACCTAGCAACAGCTCACCCTGGCAGCAGCTACCCCCCCATCAGCTAGCCCAGCAACAAAGGCTAAGACCGTGACTGTTTAGAACCCTACATGTATGGTCAGAGCAAGGAGACCACGTTGAGAGGTTTTCTGCAGTGTTAGCTCTGCTTTTGCCAGTTTATGAATAAGCCTCTGCTCCCTGCTACTGTTGTTTCTGATGTTATCATTCTTTGAGGGCCTGACTTCTGCATTTTCCACTTGGAAGATCTTCGGCTTGAGTCAGCCTTGCCCCACTCTCACATTCCTTGCCAGGCCAAGGGCAAGAACCTGAGGAAAGGGAGCCTGTAACGTTATCTAGAAGGGCAGGCTAGATACGTCAGGGTGTGTGATGGTCAGCCAGGTGAGACACCTTCGCTGCAGCTTTGCAACACGTTAACAGGAAAATGAACTTTTTCTTTTGTCATTTTTTTAAAAAAAACCTTCCAATAATGCTCTATTTCTAGGAAATGAACACATATAGGAGTGTGAAACGCATTTAACTAGTTTGATAAATTGATTTTATTAACTTTGTCATTGCAAAACTAAAATTGAGATTTCTTTTTTTTTTTTGCTTTTAATTGACTTTATTTAATTCTACTCCTGGGTAATATTTAATCTCATAAAATACAAGAAATGTTCCTAAGAATGGTCATTTATGGTAAAGTGGTCCAAAACAAAGATTAAGATAGTTCCATATGAAGTTGTAAAAGAGAAAGAGAAGAATAGTGCATATATGTAAAAGGCCATACCAGAGTAGCATCAAATTTAAAGGGGGGGCTTGTTGAGAACTGCAATGTCACAGGCCTTATTTTTTTTTTGCTATGTTCATTAATTTAGGATTTGTGGATAATAAAACTAATAAATTTTATTAGGAAGACTATGACAACTCAAGATTCTATAATAGATAAAGAACTTGTGTATGCTTGTGCTTTTTTTCTATATCATTAAAATTTAAATTAGATTTATTATATGGTAGCCTCTAGAATCTTTCTAAGTTTTATATTTGAAAAGTGATATCACAATTTTTCATGCAACCTACAAAGTGTTTCAAGAATAAACATATTTCATAAAAAAATCTATTTCTAGTACTTAATGACTCCGAACATGTTTAATCCATATTTACTAATTTGTCTTTTAAAAATCTAATCTTATTTATCAGATTAAATTTATAATTTTATGTACATAAAAATAACCATTTATAAAAAATTGAGATTTCTTAGCAAAGGATTCGCATTTAAAGTTTGCCATAACAATGTTGAGTTGGGGCCTAGGAAAGCGTGACACCGAATGGTCTTTTAGAGAAACTGATGCTCCTGTTCTCCATAAGCAGAGGGCAAGGTGCCTTATCCAAAGATAGCCACAATGGAAATGATAAACATATTTGCTGTGATGAAGAAGAATCAGCTCCACAAGGTGGAGTAAGCCACAGGGGCCTCGTGCAAAGCTTCCTGGATCTTAGCAGAGGACATTTTGAAAAATGAAATCGATATTCTTATAAACTTAGAGTTCAGCTCAAGGTAGAATTAATTTTAAACTACTCTCAGGTTGCTCACTTATTCTGTGTCTCATTACCACATATAAGTTTTTATAAGTACACGGGGACTACTGAACTACTTACCAAGTATCACTTTTGGCAGCAAAAAATTGAAAAGAATAGAGACTGTTAATCATAGCAACATTTACAAGCAATAAATAGCTAAGAACAAATGCCCAAACACCCAAATGTCACCACCTGCTTGTTTCTATTTAAGGAATAAATTCATGACCAGCAGCACCTTTTTACTGTATGCGAATTAAATTCCCTGGCTACAGTGCAGGAGTGGCGTTTTCCGCGTCACATGTTTCATTTCCATATGCGTGTGTCAATATGGGTGTCAGACAACAGCACTCCAACCTGTTAAAGTTCTATTGGTCCAATATCTTTTTGACTGTATCTTAGGCTTCCTGTATGATGTTGTTTTAGTGACAGACTGCCATAGTTGTTATTTTCCAACATTTAAAAATTGGAAGTAGAGACATAGTAATGAAAATATTTTCTAATTTACTCTTTAGGTATTCATCAAGAAAAAGACATTTAAAAAAAATTTCAATTTATACCTATATAGGTTACAGTGACTTTTAAATGTTGAAGATTTGGGTAACCATTTTAGAGAAGTAGTACCATTTTTTAAACGTGTCACAAACACAAAAAAAGTGTTCATCTAAGAGCACCATATGATGTTCAGCATCAAATTCCACGTACACGGGGGTTTATAACACTAAACATATCTCAGCATTGCATGGAACATGTCATTATTCTTTATACAGACAGTTGCATCACGTTATTTTTTTCTATATAGCATTTTTGAAGAATTTGCACTAATTTGCGAAAACGTCACACCTTTGCATAGTAATGAGCGTAATGCGTGAGTCTGCACTGTAAGTCTCCACAGCCCAAGCTCGAGTCGCCCAAAACACGGCGGAATGTTCCCATGGACACTGCTGATGCTCACAGCCCCCGCACTGCTCCTGTCTTGCCTTTGTGTATGAGCTTCTGTATGTGTGCATATGATGCACATTAGGAGATTTTGGGCAGGCCAAATAGCTCAGCGCATTAAAGCTCCTGCTTAGGCAGACGCAGGGGCCCTGCCATGCCGGCCCCACCTCCAGGGCACTCTGAGTCGGCATTGAGACTGGGCGTGGTGGGGTGCACCTGTAACCCCAGCTCTTGGGAGGCTGAACACAGGCGGGTCACCATGAGTCCGATCTAGGCAGTGAGACTCTGTAGACTCTGTCCTAAAACACACACACACACACACACACACACACACACACACACGAAAAAAGGGTATTTTGAAGGCCTCCATGAACATGTGCTCAAGGAACAATAAAGATATGACTTACACCATAGTTAACAAATTGATTTTATTATTACTGTTATTTGGGAAAGCACAAGAGCAGATGCTTGAGGATGGTCTTTGCTAGAGACTCAAAAATGAAGTTTCGTATTATATATTTTCGTACGATACAATTGCTTTAGACTTGTATGCTTAAGCCATAGTTCAGAGTAATAACTCAATACTGAATATGGCTGGGAGTATCAGCGTGTTTCATTCCTTCAAGTGTTCATCTTTACTTATTTCCCATTGTACAGCACTCTATAAAAGTGATGGAGTGGCTTACGATAAAAGGACATGATATTGATGCCAATATTCTTGACAAATGCATAAAAATACATGCATGTGCATTTGGAAGAAGTCTGCATATCCTTTAACTAAAAGTCCACGTTCATTATAGCAGATCAAGAAGGTATGTGTAAAAAGATTAAAGCATATGCTATTTATTTAAACATTTAAAGTCTTTACATGTTTAGGATAATTCAGAATAGCTAGATCAGCAGCATAGTTTAAAACAAGTCTTAGGATACCTCCTGAAAGACATGCAGAACTATTTAATATAATAGCATTTGGCTAAAAAGTAGGTATAGGAAATTTTTGTATAGCTAAAAATAGAAAAAAAATGTGTTAGAATATAGGTTGGACATTCTGCATTCAGAATTTCTTGTGTGTTGATTTAATAATTTTGTATCTTGTACATTTGTATTTTAAAGTTAAGACATTAATCCTGTGAAAGTATTATCAGTGAGAACAGACCTGTATTTTGATTAAAAACCTATTTTGGAAATCTGGTTAAATACATACATATTTTCTCAGAAAAAGGTATGTCTTATACAGAACTTTGATAGAATCATGAAATTTCTTGTTGGACCCCAAACACAGAGCCTGTTTCAGGTTCTGGAGCCATGGCTCAGAGGCAAGCACTTGTTCTGCATGCATGAGTCCTAAGGTGCAGACTCAGCCCCTCCGATGAAACCAGACTAGAACAAATCAATCCTCCTAAACAGCCTATTACCTCAAGATTGCCTTCACTCAGCTCAGGGAACAACAGATTAGGTCATTTGCTCCCATAAATTAAAGTTTTAAAAATTGTACTGAGCTAAATCACACACACACACACACACACACACACACACACACACCCCACACCCTCATCAATCTTGAGCACCTACTATGTACAAAGCCCTGGCCTAGGCTATACTGTGAAGTGACTGAATCCACCAGGTCTCACTTCCCCATCTCTTTCTAGAGTGGCCAACAGCACTCCTATCCCATTCTCCGGCACACTCTTAGCATCAGCCTGCCCCCTTCTGCACTCTCCCACTCTCACCTCTTAGGGGGCTGGTAGAAGTGACTTGGGCAAAATGCACAGAGCACATCCTTGCTTTCACTTCAGTTCATTCCCTCACTAGCCACTTGGTGATGGTCTCTCACTGGCTCCGTGAAGCGACACTGAGACTAACATGAACAACCCTGATGGAGGAGATTTTGGAGTGCTTGACTCCTTAAGACTCTCCCGAGATTTATTTACTCCTGGTTTATTTCTAGGAGCATAATTTCCAAAATACATAATCCACATTCTAGAGAGCTTGTTTACATCGATGTTCTTAACATCATTCTGCCTGAGAAACAGGAGCCTCAATTCGGTGTGTGCTGCTGGGGTCAGTGATTCTTCAAATATCAGTGAGGAACAAAGAGCACAAAGCACTGTGGGATTTATGTGCATCTCATAGTGGGGCTGCAGTAGGAATGATTTGATGATATTTGGCCTAGACCCCTCAGACAAAAGGGTTACCGCTTTCATAAGCGGTTCCAGTCCTAAGAGTGGGAGGTACAGCAGTCTACCTGTTGATGTCAACCTGCAAACATAGGCCTTTCTGTATAGTTGGTCCCACTGAACTATGGGAAAAGTAGTCCATACGGAGGAGGAACCATGTATTTCCAAGGCTTCTGGAAGAAACCTGTGACTGTATCACTCAACATCATAGATGCAGGTAACACACTTCTCTTTTCTTCTGAGATCATTTTCGCACCAAAGGAGTGGCACTTTCTTTTTACTCAGCTTCCTACTATCTTGGTTTCTCTGGTTTGAGTTGTTTTGGAGAATTAGTCTCTTTTATCCTAATGAATTTTCCTACCTGTTCTTATCTTTAACTTTCCCATGGCTAGACCATAGATTTTTCTGTATGTTGGGATAAACCAAAACCAAAATCAGAATCAAAACAAAGCAATTTCTAGGTTTATGAATATTCAATTTGGGACTCAAAGCATATATGAGATGAAGGTAAATTACGCCTGAATTTTTAAAAATCACGATCGTGCCATGTGCGGTGTACCCAGGCGTACAAACTTCACTAACATTCGTATTTTATCACACAGCATCTGCGATACTTCCTGCCTCTTGGTAAAGTATGTTAGCATCGCTCACCTGTGTAGCCAGGCGAAGCTACATACAGCTGAACGAAAAACATGTAATAGCATTACTTTGATTGTTTTTTAAAATAAAATTTAAAACTCAGTGTTTAATGACTGATATAAAACAGGCTCTGTAAGCCTCTCGACTGCTTCTGTGAAGAAATCAAGATGCCCCTTCGCAGGTGGCCTGGAGACACTCACACGATGTGGGCCAGGTTGAGTGGCTTCTCAGGCTGGTCGGGGAACATAGGGTGCAAAGGCTCCCTGCTGGACGCACAGCTCAGAGACTTGCTTAGAGCATTGGTTAGCTTCTTCGCAGGTGATTTCTGGAAAAGAGAAGGTTACAAGCTATAGCATCTTTGATGTAATGATTTATTAGCTGATTTGTTTTTTAAAATAACCATTCATCCATTATTTCATTCATCCAAGAAATACTTTTTAAATCACCTACTCTAGGTCAGGAAGTTTGCTGGAAGCTGGGAATGGAGTGCTGGAACAAGCCACCAAGGTACCCACCTCCTGCTGCTCAGAGACAGCAGGTGCTTTGATAAATTGAAGCAGTCGCTGTTCTCGGGACACCTGAGGGCCACTTACTAGGCCTCCAGGAGATCTGACAAAAGCTCAGGGGACTAATCTGGTTGTAAAGATCCTCATATAAAATGTCAAGGACAACACCTTCATCTTGTAGGCAATGAGGGACAATGAAGACTTTCAGCCACCAGAGTTACAGGAAGACATCTGATCCAGAAGGACTGCTCCTGCCTAGGAAAAAAGGGCAGCTTAGGGGACAGCAGGATTGAAAGGAAGGAGGTGAGTAGAAAGTCTTGCAGGAAATTAAGTGAAGGGTGATTCTACCTGGCCCAACACATTTGATAAGAAGTAAAACAAAAACTTCAATCTGCGTCTTTCAAATTTAAAATACGTGTTCTTTCTAGAACGCCACACTACCTCTTTTTCATTTGGACTAGTGGCATGTTTATCCTAATATGGTACCATCCAAAGTATAAAAGTATAATAAATATAACACAAAGTATTATATTTAGTTAATAAGTACCTAACAAAATTTTCCCTTTCCATAAGGAGCCATTTATAATTTTGTCTCTTTCTTTTATACCTCTTCCTTTTTTTTTAATAATTAGCAATGCCATAATGAAGTGACTATTGTCTTCATTATTTAAAAGCTAATTAACAGGAGCATTGTTCATAAAATTCCACACTTAATACTGACTTTGAAAGACAGTGTCCTTCCATACAATGTCGCAGTTCTCAGTCCCCAAGAACGAGGGTTCCTGTGTGGCTTTAGTCCTTACATAAAACAGCTAAAAATGATAAGCCTTTAAGCACCAAGCCTGCAACATCTGGGACAGAAGTTTGAAAACTGGTAATAGCTTGACAATAAAAAACAGAAAGTGCTTGCTCCCGTCTTCTGTATTAAATTGTACTTCATGACTCATGTGAGGGGGTCAGTGACAATGTACTCAGGATACTGTGCCTTCGTGAACTGTTATTTTGTGTCAGTGATGAATTATTAATAGTCACCCCAGACTGTAGCTCCCCATTAGAGTTCCCTGCATGCTAGTTGCCCATTATACTTTCCCATAATGATTGCTAGAATGTTCTGACTTAAGGTGCAAATTATGAAGACTTCCTTTTTTTTTAAAAAAAAAAAACAATAAGTTACTCTTTTAGAAGAGCCTACAGATTGCATTAAATTATAAATATAGAATATTTAAAGAATTCAATAAATATTGAATTTAAACTTGGAAGACTTTTGTTTTTTCCTGTCATAGAACTAGCTCAAGAGGCACTCAAAAGGTTGATGGTATATCTCATGAGAAATATATTTTTAGAACGATACTTGAACATTGCATGAGATCAGTAGTACTAAAGCTGATCTTTGACTTAAAGATAGAGGTTAGAAAATTGCAAACCATTCATAAAGGAAGCCCTCTGGGAAGGCTTTTTCTAATCCTAGGGCTATGTGCTCCTGAAAACACACTTATCACACAGGCAATCACGTATCACCTTTACCAAGCTGGCCAATCACGCTATTCATGCAAAGAGGGTTTGCTAATGTAACCATAGTCTCTCCACCCCACCTTCTCCCCCCAAAGTAAAATGGAAACAGTGTTAGTAATCTTGCACTGTGATATGTCTTTCCTTAGTGCTCAAGGTTCTAGGAAAGATGACTATGTTTTTCAGCAATTTCCATAAAAGCAAAACAAAATTTGGAGAAATCTTTAACTTACTGTGAAAATAAAACTACGTTCCAGGAGATGCTTGCTGTTTAGTTGTCATTTAAGTCAGTACTGAATTGTCTCTATTCAAGAAGTAATATAGTTGGAAGCTTCCTGTATTTTAAGTCTTAAGAAGGTATACTTGGTTCAGATAGAACAAGTAAGAGATTCCAGTAACAGAGAGAGGGCAGGGCAGGGACAGAGACTGCCAGCGCTGGAGGAGAATTTAAGTCTGCTGCTTAATTCTATAATCATCCTTGATGGTCTCTCATTCTGGGCCACTCTCCAACTGCAAGTGTTACCCAGGCCTTGCCTTACCCATGACGTATACTCTTTCATTTGGTGCTGGTTGCTATGGGAGCCACCCGCGTGTCCCCTCCAGAAGCAGTCTTGACAGAGCTGGTAATTGTGACACTGCTGGCACCGGTAGCGAAATCCCATCATACTCTCACTGTGGCAGTAGGAACACTCAACCGGATGGAAGACTAAGGGGGAAGTAAACGAAGAAGAAACAGGAACATGACTGTGTGGACCAGAATAAAGAAAAGCCCAGCTTCAACAAAACTGCGTTTTCTGCTGTGTACCATCATTTCAGACACAAGGCAATCTTGCTCAGAGAAGCATTAAGTGTACTGCTGGAGTCTCACTACCCTTTTCAAGCACGTGTGTGGGGCTGGAGGAAATGGGACAGACTATCGTGTCCTAATAATGACACGAGTCTGCAACGCCATTGGCTCATCTCGCCCATGTCTTGCGGAATATAAATTACCCAAATGACTTTGCCTTTCCCCCAGACTGCTCTGTGTCTTGGAGACCAGCGCAGCTCACTGGGGACTCCGAAGTACACGATGAACATAGTTAACCATTTACAGGGTTGAGAGCAAATACTAAATAATTGGAAAATGACAGAAGACAAACAAGAGGACATGGGGGGGGGAGCAAACAGGACAACTGGACCAGACAATTGAGTTACTTTTAAGATAATGATTGGCTTAATCAGTGATACTGTCATCATCTAACTGATAATTTTCTGAGGCAGGTGGATAGGGCCCAAGAGAAGGGTCAGTTACTTGAATATAGTCCTTACTCAGTTCAATAAATACCCTTTGGGCAGGAAATTAGAATTACAAAGTAGACAAGGTAAAGTATACAAAATTCGAAACTAATAGCTGATCAAATACAAATAATTCTCTACATGTTACAACTAAAGATACTAAATAACAGCCGGAAGACAAATTCTTGACTTTGATAATGGTATTCTCTGACTAACAAGCCAGAAAAAATAGAATAAGTAAAGGCAAGAAAACAAAGTACATAGAGATATAGCCCGCTCTGGGTGCACAGTCTTCTAAATAAACTTGCTAAGTTCTCTTTTCCAGCACCTGGGGAAAACAGAGTGGTACCTGAGTCTAGTGTAACTATTTTTGGACAAATGCCCAACAAATTGACCTCGTGAAGTAGGAAGCACTGAGAGAGTGGGAATTAAATTCCAGCATTGTGACTGAAAAAGACTAGTTCAGGGACTGAAAAAAACCAGACCAGACCAAACCAAACCAAATCCCTCAGCTACAACATAATATGGACCTTGTTTTCTCTTTGCTTCTTTTTCTTTCTTTCTTTTTTTTTTTGTGGGGGACCCGGGTATTGAACTCAGGCCCTTGCGCTTGCCAGGCAAGTGCTTATTCTACTGAGCCATCTCCCCGGCCCCCACTATTTGCTTCTATATAAATAAGATGCATGAAAACATCTGTGATTGTTATTCATTGCAAAAAACCTAGTAAGTTAACTCTTTAAATTTTATCTATGACAAAACAGGATAAATTTATGGCTTTCAACTAAAAGAGATTATAAAGGCAGTTGCTAAAACTTCTGAATGAAAATTTAAAATGAAGTCAACTTTAGCCTCCAAATATGTGAAATAAATATGTAGACATTCAGATTCCAGTAAGACACATGGGATGCACCACATTCTATCTAAATGAAGAAATTTTAGAGTTCAATTAACCAATAAGTAAAAGAATAAGTAACTACTAGAGGCACTGAATTATTCTATGATTAAACTTCTTTGGCTCTTGTCCTAAATTGTACTTTATATTTAAATCTCGATATGCCAAGAGTAAATACTTTTATCCTAGAAATATTTGATTAAAAGTATGTAATCTCACCTTTAACAGAAGTACAACTCTTGAAAGCTTACAATTTGGAGCATGTGTCTAAAGATGAGCAGGGTGCCCTCATTTAATGTTGTTGCTGTCCCTCCCATCTGTCCCTCACTGATTTCCGTGGAAGAAATAGTACAACTCATATCAGCATAAAAATTCAAATTTTAACTTCACTTGAAAGTGTCATGTTCTTATTGAGTTTTTTTTTTTTTTTTTTTTTCTGTTATAAATCTGGGACTCAGAGCTGCACCAGGAGATTTAATAAGTGTTTAGAAGTGCAGTGATCTTAAAGGATTTTTGGCCATAGAGATGGGTTAGTTCTACTCAAAACAAAACCCAGAACCACTCTATGGACATCTCTTAAAGCACTGCCATGTGACGAATAACTGTAGAGTTCATGATGCTACTTCAATCATATAATAAACTGCTTCGCACAATAGTAACTACTCACCATTTTCAACATTCGCTAGTCGATGCAGGAGAGGCAGCCAGACCAGACACTGTGGGGGAGGATCGGACATGAGTGTATCCAGGAAACCATTTAATGTTACTTTCTTCTGCATCAAAAAAAAAAATCACAGAAGTTTAAGACGAAGAATAATCTTAACTAGCAAGTATCTTTCGAGGCTGAACATATAACCATACAATTAACTTCTAATAGATGAAGAAATGGAACTTTCCAAATTTGTTATTAATGTAGCTCAGAACTGAAAGTGCTGATTGATTTCTGTGCCTAAACCTACATGAGACGAGGGTATTTCCACTGAGACAGCAATAGCATAAGCAGGGGCAGGACGGTTCTGAGAGCATTACTTTCATGGATGAGCTAAGGGGGAGAATTGAAAGTCTTCACAGAATTTATGACCAGATTCCCTTTCAAGTTGACATCAATATTACTATTAAATATAGTATGTAAAATATAGATGATGAGATAATATTTTTAAGAAGAGGGCAGGATTTATGTGTCTAAAACAATATTGTCTTTCAAAGCTATCACTTGGGATGACTTGGACTTCTTCCAATGAAGTATTTCAGACACTTTTGGAATTTTACTCTTTAAACTGCTATGATAAAAATGATAAGACCAAAATAAATTGCTCTATTACTTTTTATATTTTTATGTTATTTCATTTTGTATTTTAAATGATCTTTTCCATCTTTATCATTCACTACTTTGGCTAAAAATCACCCCTGGATATTTCCAAAAATATCATTATGAAGAAATTGTAGACAGAAATTTCTCTTCTGTCTGTTTTTTGCAACAAGGGCTTGCTATGTAGTTCAGGGTGGTCCTGAATGCACTATGTGGTCTAGCCTGGCCTTGAACTCACAGCAGTCTTCCTGCCTCAGCTTCCGAATGCTGGGATTTCACGTGTGTGCCACCACTTTTGGCCAGAAATGTCTTATTATTAAGGATATTTGAATCTGATATAATGGGACAGTCCAGAGGATATTGAAAGGGGAGTTTTTAACATGGGCAGATAACTATAATTCTCTTTCAGTTAGCAAAAGCCAGGACTAGAAAAACAAATACTACATGTTCTCATATAGAGCTGAAATAGTTGATTTCAGAGAAGAAAAATGATGAAAAAGGGTCATCACAGGCTGGGAAAAGGAGGGAAGAAGAAGCAAAGGGAGGACTGATAATGGGTACCATCTTATGGTTAGATAGGCAGAAGGAGCAACTTTGAAGAGAAATTACTGAAAGAAGAGAATGCATTAGCTGGGGTCAGAGGCTTGGAGTATATATGTGTGCTCATGGGGCACAGGGAGGGTGTAAGGCCTCTGGGCAAGATGACAACATAGAGCCACACTTATCACACAACCCAGGTCCCTTTATTAATTATATAGATATTCTTGTAAGTCTTCCTAAATTCATGATTCAAATGGATGCCTGAAGCAGTTTTATGTTTTTTTTTTTTTTTTTTTTTTTTGTGGACCTGGGGATTGAATTTAGGCTCTGGCACTTGCCCGGGAAGTGCTTATTTCACTGAACCATCTCCCCAGCCCCCTTTTAACAATTTTTAAAAAAAATTTATGAATTTGATACAGGGTCTCTCTATGCAGCTCTGAGCTGTCGCGATTCTCCTGTTTTAGCTTCCCTAGCCCTAGACACTTTTGGAATTTTACTCTTTAAACTGCTATGATAAAAATGATAAGACAAAAATAAATTGCTCTACTACTTTTTATATTTTTATGTTATTTCATTTTATATTTTAAATGATCTTTTCCATCTTCATCATTCACTTCTTTGGCTAAAAATCACCCCTGGGTATTTCACCCCTGGGATTACAGGTGTGCACTACCATGCCCAGTTTTAGTGACCAGCTTGGTGGGCCCAAGGCAGGTCTGGCACAGCATGTTGTTCTGGGAATCGAACCTGAGTCCTTGCACTTACCAGGCAAGTGCTTAGACAGCTGAGCTTCCTCTGAGGCCCATGAAGCAGTTTTGATCTCTTAGACATCCAACTAAACAGACTGATATTTATTAGCTGGACAACCAAGGTGGTTTTCCAGAGGTTGCTATGAACTAATTGTTCTAGCCATTATTTTTTTTTGTTTTATTTGCACTGACTTCATATTTACGGGATCCTTTTAGAGGGCACAAATGATAGTCTGGATTTTTAAAAGATTGTAAACAACCTTCAGAAGATTGTAAGCAAACCTACTTAGGAGCTTGCAGTTCCTTCTACGTGACCAGATGGGGACAACTGGAGAGACCTCAAAACCAAGCAGCTTCCTTTATGCCAGGCCAAGTTTACTGCCCTAAATGTGTCACTGCATGGCAGACGTAGTTGTGTTTGCCATGCTTCGGGCCATCCAGGTTGCGCTGCGGTGACTCCTTTCTTCTCTCCTTTGCTGGCATTGCCAAACCATGGTATTGGGTCAGATATGTGTCCCATGGGGCTGAGTGATGGCTCAGTCCTTTTGATAGTGCAGTGATGATAATAATAATGATGCTGAGGTTGTAAGGATGAAATTGCATGATGAAGATAAAGAAAATTAGCATGGTGCCTGCCCATGGCCAGTGAGCACTAGCCATGATCTAGGTGTGTTGAGCGAGTGACGGGCACAAAGGCCACTTATCGGAGGCTAGAGATGCCCTCCAGGGTACCGTTGGGTAGGAGAGCTGACTGCGCATCTGTGGCTGGGAATGGCACACAGAACAAGAGCAGGAGTTCTGAGAGGCATTTCCTCCAAATGTTACCTGTTGGGAGAAACAGGATCTAGCTGACTGCTCTGTGTAACCAAACGAAGGACCTTCGAAAACTGCCGTGGGTAGTTTGAGAACTTCCCGAAGGAACTGGTCATATCGTCCATAAACCATCACTCCGCTGGAGTCAGAAATCATCGAGAAAATATCTGATGAGAAGGAAAGGATGAAGATATTTATTCATCACTACTATTCTCTACTATTTTAGGTCAACACAGCTGCTACTAAGGACAAAGACTGTGGCAGAATAAGTGTATTATTTTTATGAAAGATTGTAAAGACTAAGTTTTAGACTTAAATATTCCTGGATGGTGTTTTCTCTGGTGTCTTCTCACCGGTGATTCTGGCACATAACAAAAACTGGTCCTCTGGGTAAAATTATCATATTTTGAGAGAGCAGAAAATGTCACATTTTTATTCTGAGGTCAATGAAGAATGCACGTAGCCCTCCACATTTTTATACATGAGAGGGATGCTGATGTCATTTGAGTCACCCAAGGAGGGCTGGGGGTGCGTGGCTACCTGTGTAGCTCTTGTCCATCTCTATCATCACCAAAACAATTAGGTTTTGGTTTAAGATATGTGAAAGATGAAAGTACTGCAAGGATAAAGATGTATCAAAAACACCATTAACTTCCCACAGAAGCAGAAAACTTAGGACAAATCACTGTTCTGGGTGAAAGGCATTTGATTTATGGGAAGGGTCTTTTGACTCATGTGGCAAAGAGGAAACCTGGCCTTGTGGATCATCAGTGGGGAAGGTGGGTGCCTTGGAGGAGTCTCCAGTGCTCTCTGGTTTCACTGGACCTCTGATCTTGAGTTTCTGCTACTCTGTGCATCTAATGAACATTAATGGAAAAATTTTCTAAGCTATGTTGTAATTCCTCTTTGGAAATCGCTGTCAGAAAAGCTTGCTGTTAATTTATCCCCATGTTAGCCATATTGTTACTGGGCAAAAGGAACCTCTGGGACAAACTCTTGTAAATTTGATGTACTCCATTCATACATTTTAAATTCAATTTTCTCAGGTCAAGATGTAATTTGAGAACATTGCATTTATACTGCAACCAAATGTTAGGAACATATTATAGTTTTTCACTGGATTATGTTTTGAGGTTGTAAATTAACTATTATTTTCTTAAATATACCCATTGTGAAGGGTTTATAACCTGCATCAGATAGTTTATTAATTATAAGACTACAGAGATTCTAGGGTTAATATCCAAAATCTATAAGGAATTCAAACAACTGTATAACAGGAAAACAAATAACTTGCTTAAAAATGGGAAAAAGATACACATAGCCACTTCCCAAAAGAAATCATACAAATGAATAATAGATAATGAAAAACACATAATATTACTACTCATCAGTGAAATGCAAATCAGAGCCACAATTACGTATTATCTCACTCCTGTAAGAATGGCTGTTATAAAAAACATTAGCAAATGTTGGAGAAAATTTGGAGAAAACAAATCCTCACTGTTGGTGGGAATGTCTCATTATGGAAAACATTGTGGAGGTAACACACAGATTAAACATAGAGCCAGCATTCTCATTGCTGGGTCTACATCCAAAGGAAATGAAATTAGTATGTTGAGGAGTTATCTGCACTTCTGTGGGTCACAGTACTGTTTGCAGTAGTGAAGAAATGTAATCAACCTAAGCATCTGCCAACAGATGAATGGATAAAGAAACTACGATACATACCATAATAAGAAGCATACCCTGCCATTTACAGCAGCATGGGTGAACCTGGAGGACATTATGCTTAGTGAAATGAGGCAGGCATAGAAAAACTAAACATGGCACCGTCACACTCCTATGTGATGTATGAAAACGTTGATCTCATAGCAGTCGAGAGGAGAATGGCAGTTCTGTAGCCTGGAGGAGGGTGGTGGCGGCATGAGGCAAAGGAGGTTGGGTAGATCTTGGTCAGAAGACAAATAACTACAGCTGGATAAGAGGAAAATGTCCAAGAGATCTGCTGTGTGGCATGGCAATTGTAGTTGATGACAACATAGTGCATTTTCAAGAACAGCAAAAGAGAATAGAGGCTAAGAGTTCTCACTGTGGATTATCCAAGTAACTATGTGAAATATTTTTGAAACAACAGAACAGATAATTGAGGAATTATTTAAACTTCCTTATACTT